CTCCCTCTCCCTCTCCCTCTCCCTCTCCCTCTCCCTCTCCCTCTCCCTGTCATTGCTAAGACTCTAAGTCATTGCTCTCATCAAAATTGTTGTCAAAGTAAGTTTGGGGCCTGTTTTCTGCTTGATCAGTATTCTGGCTGCTATTATAGCATTTTAGCTCTTACCACTCTGTATACCTGAGTCCATAATCAAAGCTTTGAAAGGGATGGATGCAAAAACTGTATTGTCTTCAGGACATTCAGGACATTCAATACAATGAATGACTAGATTCACATTTACATTAGCTGTTAATTGGCCGGCTATAACTTGCTATGTCCAAAACAGAGTTCATATTGCAGAGATCTTTCTAGTGCTGCTGTTTGACAGTCTGCTGTTTGACAGTCTGCATACACAAGTCTTCTCACAGCGATAGGTAGCTGGAGTTAATTTTACCTCCCTCACCCTTCATGGGTATCAGTTATTGCAGTTTTGTGGACAGACATGTGGAATGAGAATTCCTGTTGATTCTGAAAAACTGGGTTTGTACGAGTGTCAGAAAAGTTCCCTTGGTAATTACGCTTGCTTTTGCATAGTATCAGAGCTCTAAATTCTCGTTTTGTCTGCCGCAACACTCGGAGTGCCTATTTTGCATGCATCAAACAGAATGGGGCAGGCTGCGTTATCATTAGTGAATTTGTTCATGTGAGTGCTTCAAATATCTGAAAACACTGGGCAAGATTGTAGAATACATAGCAGATCATAAGATTTCAGGCTGTTTGTATTATTTGCTAATTGGGAATGATTTGTACCAGTCTCTTAAGACCGAGTAAAATGCTTGGCTGCTTTAAATGATTTCACTGTTTTCATTTCCACCATTCTCCTGTTTTTAATGAATTAGACCTATTTTTTTTCTCTTTTATTGAGTGATAGGCCCAGAAGGATCCTATTATTCTTCATCGTGATAGAAATGTTGGCATTTTTAGTAGTACTTATTAATTTTTGTTGCTTAAGTGTCTCAGAGGTAATTGAGCTAAATGATCAAGCAATGTGCAAGCAAGTGGGGAGGAGACACAAAAATTATTTTTGTCAGTTGTACTAATCTTAAAATATACAGGAAGAGTACTTATTTCTGTGCACCATAGAAGTTATACAAGTTTTGTGTTCTTGACTTTTTTTTTTTTTTTTTTAACTTCTATTTCTGACACCATGAGGCCCTCTTATTGCCTTTTATCTAGCTGAAGCTTCAATCAGCCTTACATTGCTGAACTAAAGCTTTTTATCGTTTTGGTAACTAATTGTACCAGACGCAACAGATAAAATGCAGTGTCATTAATGTTTTGTTTTAGATGTGGTTAGGTGGCAGAAATATTTTAAAATGCAGTTTGTGATAATTTCCAAATTAAAACTTTTGTAAATGGTGTTTTTATTATAAGTAGGTATAAGTAGCATTTACATCTCAACGTTTCTAAGCATACTTCTTCCTAGAATCTTTTAAATGTAATAATTTTTACTCTCTATATACTATCTTGATACTATAGTTTGTTTTCGCATGAATCCAGTGGTCTGAATTTATTCACGGTGTCAGTTACTTTCAGAGTTAGTGTTACATAGCCATTCCTGACATTCATTTGTCACTTTATTCATTTCTTATCAGGCTACTCCTTCCTTGAAAATAAAATAGGGGAGTCTCAATTCTGCCTTCTGGGCATCATTTGAAAGAACTTGGTGCTTCTGGTCTGGCTAGTTAGTTAGTAGAATTCCACGGTATTTCGTTATGCTTGGAAAATTGATCTTAGTCAGTGCTATAGCTCTCTGTAAGATAGACTAGAACCTGAGAACATTGACCCACTTTTTTTGAATGAAGTGAAATCTCACTGATTTAAGTAATTTAAAGCAGAGTATGTTTGACTGCACTGGATGTGTATGTATAAATATTTAATTTACGTTTTTATTTGGCTAGGTGTTTTTTACCATGTCTGTGGTTTAGAATTACTCTGGCGATGTTTTCATTTCACTGAGGATGTTTATTATATTAAGATGATCAGAGAATAGTTTGACTCCTTTGAAAATCAGTTTAAAGAAATAAAATCACAAGACTTTGTAATGAACCGAGCAGCCAGGGAATCGCTGATAATTCTTCATCCTCTCACAGGTGAAAGATAAGAGGGT